CCTCCTCGTCATCCGTTCTCCCGAAGACCCCCAAGCGGCGACCAAAAGGCTACGACAAAGACGACGGTGCTGCCACGCTACGGAATTATTGCGCTGCTCTCCTAAGTGCGGATGGATCTGCTCAGCATTACATTAGGATGTTACGCACGGGACGTGTCAGAGGTACGATGCAGTCAAACAACAACCATGATCATTGAGGCCGTACACAACTCACCCAGAACGCCCCAAGTTGTCAGGATGCCCCTTTGTGCAAGGGTGCGTTACTTGACAGGCTCATCCTTTAAGCTGGTTTCGACTGCAGCATATCTAGACCCGCCAGCCCCCATGGGGGCGAAGGGCTGTGAACCATGTTGCTGGACCTCCATGCTGTTTCTACTGGGGGAGACCGCGGCGCCCCCCCCAAGAAAGACAAGCACCTGGGTGGTGGTGGGCTCGGCCACCATGTCGCTCAAATAGCCCCGACTCCCATGGGGACGCCACCAGGCGGTCAAGAGAGCTCAGGAAACCTCGAACACGGCCCCGAGAGGAAGAGCCAAATACGGCCGAGTGTGGCCCCGGGACGTCTCAAGTAGTCCCAGGACGTTCCCTGACGGTGCAGTAACACGGTGAAACAATCCTTGTGTGCTTGCCCTGTTTCAGGAGTTGCCCCCAGGAGGCCCCTGGATCGCTTCACGACGGCCCCCAGAGAACCCGAGATTGCTCAGGACGGCCCCAAGGTGGCCCCCGAGGGCCCCGAGATGCCGCCCAGAGCGCCCAGGGTGGCCCCACGAGGCCCCGAGGTGGCCCCACGAGGGGCCCCAGAGGCCCCAGCACGGGTCACCTCCTCCTCCTCCTCCTCCTCCTCCTCCGCCTCCTCCTCCTCCGCCTCCTCCTCCTCCGCCTCCTCCTCCTCCTCCTCCTCCTCCTCCGCCTCCTCCTCCTCCTCCTCCTCCTCCTCCTCCTCCTCCTCCAGGAACTGTCCGGCGTGACCCCCAGGGGAAGCACGAGAGAGGCCCCGGGGGAGCCCCCCGAGAGGCCCGGGGGCGCAGGCGTCCGGGCTGCCCCCGGGTCCAGCCGCAGGACGGCTCAGCCGGGGGGGGGGGGGGGGGGGCAAGCGGCAGGGAGGGCGGCCCCTCGATTGTACAACAGGATCGCGGCGTGGAGTGGGGACAGAGGGGGACGAGAGGGGAGGGACGAGGAGGAAAGCGGAGGAGGAGGAGGAGGAGGAGGAGGACAGACGATAGGGGAGAGGGCATGAGAGAGGGGAGAGAAGACATGGAGGGATCAGATTATAGGGGAGGCAGGGAGAGAGGATGAGAGGGGGAAAAGAAAAGGAAGGAGGAAGGAGGGATGGAAGGAAGGGACGATCAGAAGGAAAGGATGACGTGGGGAATGCAAATGATGGGTGGGGATCAAATGAGGCGGGGGGAGAAGAGAGGGAGAGCAAGGGAGAGGACGGAGGTAAGAATGGGGGATAGGGAGAACGGAGAAACAGAGGGTGAGGAAGGGAGAAAAAGAAAACGGAGGCGGATACCGCAAAATGAAAGAAAGCGAGAGAGAGAGAGAGAGAAACAAAAATAAAGAGAAGGGGAGCGAGAGAGAGAGAGAGAGAGAAAATAAGTATACAGCGAGAGAGAGAGAGAGAAAGCGAGAAAACAAACATGAGGGAGAGAGAGAGAGAGTACACACACTTAAACAATTCCATGCAGAAGGGGAGAGGGATCTATATATATATATAGATAGAGAGAGAGAGAGAAGCAAACAAACAAAAAACGTGGAGGAGCAGGAGGAGGAGAAACTGATGGCAGGAGAGGAGCATCTGAGGGAAAGAGAGCTGGAGGAGGAGGGGTGGCAGCGCAGCAGTTGCAGTCGGGCGCGGCCTGGAACTCTACGGTCCGATCGTGCTCCTTCACCTTCTGGTCCACCACCTGGGTGCTCAGGAGGCGGAGACAGGGGGTGGAGACGGAGGGACGACGGACGAGGATGTGGAGGGGCAACTGGGAGCGGGAGGATGTGGAAGGAGAAGCAGGCAGGAGAGGGAAGCGCGGTGAGGGGAGGAAGACGCGGAGGAGGAAACAACACGAGGAGGAGGAGGAGGAGGAGGAGGAGGAGGAGGCAGACCGAGGAGGAGAAAGGGGGGAACGAAAACGAGAAGGAGCGAGCACCCGGTCGGCCCAGTTTGGACTCCCCAAGGACCTCCGGAGGCCTCCCGAACTCGCGGTCGCCGTCGTCGTCGGAGAAGGAGGGGGGCGAGGAGGGAGTGAAGAGAGGGAGGAGGGGTATGGGGGAAAGAAGAATCGACGGGAGGAGGGGGGAGGACGAAGAAAAAACAGAGGAGCAAGTGTGACGAGCAGAGGTTTGGAGCATGTCTGGGGTTTGGTTTGGGTACGTTCTGGCGAAGCCTCTGGGGGGATCCCGCTTCCCCCTGCTCCTGGTCTCCCTCACCCCCCCCCTATACACACTCTCGACTCCTCCTTCCCCTCCTCCAGGGATGGAGGAAGAGAGCGAAGGAGGAAACAATGACACAGGGATGAGGAAAAGGATGGGGGAGGTGACGGAGCAGGATCATAAAGTGTAGGAGCGTGGGCAGCAGCAACAGCAGGAACTGCAGCATATGCGGGAGCAGGAGCAGGAGAGGAAGGGATATGATCAGGAGGACGGACAATAGTAGCAGGAATAAGAAGAGGAACGGGAATAAAATGATAATGATGAGCAGCCTGAACAGACCAGAGCAGAAGAGGAGCGGGAGGACGGGAATGCCCCCAGCTTGGAGCAGAGCTGAATGTCTCAAGCAACAAAGAACCGCCTCGAACAGCATCGACTGCGGCAGGTGGTGCATGACGCTCGTGTGCTTGGACGCGTAGAGCACGTGCGTCTGCAGGGACGTGAACAGCTTGGATATCTCGCGACCTCTGAAGGTGGGGCGAAGGGGGGCGGAAGCGGGCGAGGGACGGGCCAGAGAGCCAGGACACGCCCCGCGAGCCTCGCGAGGAAGAAGAGCGCGCCCTCCCATCCTCGCCTCTCCGCCGAAGGATCGACGGGAGGCTGGGCACAAAAAGCGCGCGGGGGGGGTAGCGGGCACGCGCAACCGAGCCGAAGCGCCCGTCCGTGATGTGCCGCACGACGCCGAGCTATGAACATCTGGCAGGTGCAGCCACAATTCTGGCCTGCCAGGGACGCGCTGGGGACGGTCGTCAGGGCTGGCCCGCGTCTCGGGGTCCTCATTTTCCTTGTTCTCCTCCTAGTCCATTATTTTCTTTGATGCATAAATATTCCCTGTCGAACCCCGAAACCCGTTTTTGGGGCAGGCCGGGCATTTTGCCCAAGGTTTCGTCACCATTTATGACCCTAATAAATTGGCATCCCTTTCGCAGATCATTCTCAAAATGTGGTGATCGCTTTCGCGCCGCGCACATTCGTATTAAACGTGCAAGACTTCCACGGATTGAGGGCGACTGACTTTCAAACTGTGGTTTTTCGCCTGAGCGTCGCGCACGTTCGCAAAACAAACTGCACGAATTTCGCGGATTGAGGGCGGCTCTTTTTCAAAATGCGGTTCTCGCCTAAGCGCCGCGTAAATTCGTTCTACAAATTGCAAAAGTTTCAGACGTGGGGGGGTCCAGATGTGGCTCTCGCGTTAGCGCCGCGTGCACTCGCTGCGTAAATTTGCAAGGGTTTCGCGGATTGAGGGCGGCCCCCTTCCAAAATGTGGCCGTCGCTGTAGCGCGGCGCACATTCGTTTATACATTAACAAAATCTTCACGGATTCCAGCGACCAGCGTGCCAGGAATGGTGTTTTGGAAAGCACTATGAAAACGCGGGTGCATCAGTTGCGTCGGCTCGCGGTGCTGAGTCCCACGAGTGGCTTTTTGTGGCACGACTCTGGCTCGCCAAGAAGAAGCAGTCAGGCTGATCCGTGGCGCTGGAATCCCGAAAGCAATGTTTTTGTATCGTGCGTCATGGCATTCAAACTGTTGTCCTCCGACGAAGCAATTCCCTCGGTGGGGATGAACCGCTGTGGGAGCATATGAAGAGGGAGCTTGGAGAAAGGGTTAGTCCAACGTCGTTGATGACTCTTGGGTTTATCCTGGTCCTTTTCCTCCTCCGCCTCCTCTTCCTCCAGCGATTTGCCCATGTATCATGGATCCTGGCGTTATCTGAATCCTGTTGATCGGCTCTGGGTCTGAATGCTCTTGTACACGATCTTCTAGAAGTGGTCCCAAACTGAGTCTCGGAGAGGATGCGTTTGACGCCGTGGCTAAAATGCTAGCCGGCCGGCCGACGGGAAGGGGGCTGGGCGCGCACGAACCATTTTCACCTGACAGCGGAAACAGCTGCGTCAATAGGAGCTATGATCAGATGGCTCCGTCAAACCTCATTTGGAAAGCAAAGGTCGGGCCGGGCGAAAGGGGGGGGGGACAGCAAAGGGGGGTTCGATAATCAGCTCACGTAGCTGATTTTCCCGGCGGCTCCCGGCGCCAGGAGGCGCTCATGCATCGAGGAATGGGCCCGGCGGCGGGGCCGAAACCAGCTACATGCAGCAGATTTCGTAACCCCCCGTTTCCCTATCCCCCCCGTTCGCTCGGCCCGAAAAGGCGGAGCGGGCAAAGGTTGCGAGGGGGACGTTAGTAAATGACTCCCCCCGCGGCCGGCTCGGCGCGGGGATTCCGCACTCGGGCGGGCGTCAGCCTTTAGCTGACGCCCCAAGCTGCACCCCTTCCCAAGGCACTTCGGCCCCCGCGGTGCCGTGCCCAGAAAAACTTGCACGGCGCGCGCGGGAGGGAAGCGGGCGCTCCTGACACAGCCCTGCGGGATGAGCCAAAACGCGCCCGCGAGATCCGCAGAGACAGAAGCGCGCTGAGCGTGCCGCCCAGCGAACGGCCCATAAGGCCATCGCAGCCTGCCGCCGCGCCGCGGTCCACGCGAGAACGCTCGGAGCACACCTCCAACGCGTTCGGACAACGCTCAGAGCACAGCTCCGAATTGCCCCCCCCCCCCGGCCCCTCTTTCTCCATCAGCGCCTGCCCTCGCTCCGCTGCTCGCCGCGGCCCCAGCCGACGCGCCGGCTGTGCCGCCCGAGAACCGCCCTATCGGCTCCTCGACGGCCAGCGACTCTGCGAGCTCCGGCGCCACGGCGGGCGCGGGCCCTCGATCTCCACCGCAGCCCTCCACCGGATGTCCGTGTACTGGCGCCTCCCCGCCGCGGGTTCTGGGGCAGAACTGGGCGATGCTGCCGCCGACATTGACGGCCTGGGATGGAGCTCCCAGAGCGTCGGCCCCGCACTTCGGCGGCGCATGCCAACCTGCCGATTCTGCGGTCCCTGACTTCCATACAGAAGTCGTATCTGTGTGCACCACGGCGACTGCGTTTACCGTAACAGCCGCGCCGCGTGCACCACGACGCATTTGTACATCGCGCGATCTGCGCACGCCACGGCGCCTGCGTGCACCACAGCCGCTGTTTCAGCACCCCCTGTGCACCACAGCGCCTGCGCACACCGCAAAATTCGTGTACGCCTGAAGGCAATACCGACGGGGCCAAGCTCCGGAAACTCGTCGGGGGCCCGAACGTATCACATTCAATATGTAACTTATGTGTGATTCTTGATTTTTCTGGCCCGGGGTGCGGTCCCCCCGTTCAGCGCCTGTCTAGCATGCGCCACGGCGCCTGTCTAGCGTGCGCCACGACACCTTTGTACACCACAGCTGCTTGCGTACACCGCAAAGCCTGTCTAGACAACAGTGCCCGTGTACACCACAATGCCTGTGTAGACAACACCCGTGTGCACCACAGCGCCTGTGTACACTGCGGTGTTTGTGCACACCACAGGAGCCGCGTGCACCACAGCGCATGGCAAACATTTGCGCCACAGCGCTTTCGTGCACCTCCAAGGTCCCGCCGGGGCCCAAATCTGGAAAATCGCCGGGAGCCCATACATATCAAATTCAATATGTTCAACGGTTTGTGATTACTGATTTTTCTGGCCCAGGGTGCGGTGCCCCCGATTTTGGCCGACCATGTTTGTGTACACCACAGCGCCTGTCTAGCGTGCGCCACGACGCCTTTGTACACCACAGCTGCTTGCGTACACCGCAAAGCCTGTCTACACAACAGTGCCTGTGTACACCACAATGCCCCTGTACACCACAACGCCCGTGTGCACCGCAGCACCTGTGTACACCACACACACAAACACACACAGCCTGTAAACACGACGACGCCTATGTGCACCACGGTTGCTGCTTCAGCACCATACTCGTGCACCACAGCTCTGGTGCACCAAACTGCGTGTGTACACCACAGGACCGCGTACACTTCCAGGGCCCCCGGCAGGACCGAACTCCAAAAAATCATGGGGAATCCGAACGTATCAAATCCAATATGTGAGCTAGTTGTGATTTTTGTTTTTTCTTGCGCAAAGAACGGTCCCGTCTTGTGGGCCCACAACGCCTATGTACACCATAGCGAATGTGTGCACAGCAACGGATGTGTACAACGCAGCGCCTGTGTACACCACGATGCGTGGTACACCGCAATGACAATCCTGCGTGCGTGACAACTGATGTTGCAGCAGCAGGTGTACACACCACAAAGCTTGTCTTTACCACATTGCCTGGGTGCATCACGATGCCCGCGTGCACCTCGCGACCTACGTGCGCCTATGCTCGCGCGCACCACAACGCCTGCATACACAACATATATTGCTGCAGCAGCAGCAACTGCGCGCACCAAATCGCCTCGCTGCCTGGGCACAACGCAAAGCCTGTGTACGCGCTGCTCACGTGCAAGTCCAGGTGCTTTATGGACGATGTCAATCGTCGTCGGTGACGGTGTCGTCGTCGTCGTCGTCGTCGTCGTCGTCGTCGTCGTCGCTGTTCGTCGTCGTCAATCGTCATCTATCGTCGTCTGTCGTCGCCGTATGTCGTCTGTCGTCTGTTCGTTCGTCGTCGTCGTTATCTCCCCGTGTCACTCCAAGCCCCAACGTTTCGCCAACGTGCATCCAAGTACCAGCATGCTGTGGCGAACACCGCCGCGCCGTTGAACACAGCGTCCCATTCAAGCTCCCTGCGCCTCCGCCGGACCTGCACAACCGGCTAGGTCAGGTTATCCTGGGGCGGGTGGGGGGCGAGCCCGATAACCTGGGTTATCGCTAGACCCTAAAAAAACAGTCTCCTGCGTGCACCATGGTGCACGCCCGCGTGCACAATATAGCCTGGGCTGCCCGGGATCGCGCGCTGGACTGGGACTGGGGCGTTACCGCTACGCGGGGGGGAGGGGAGGGGTAACATGCGTTTTCTATGCGTTTTCTTTGGGTGGATAACAAAATGGTCTCCTGGCTCCCGCAGGGAGCGGTGGAACTGGAGGCGGTCCAGAAGGGCCTTCGTCATCCGTCGGGTCCTCATCCGCCTCGCCCGCAGCCACCCCTCCCGCTCCGCTGTCGTGGGCAGGTGGCGGTGGCACTATGTCCCGAGCCTTATATCCAGCTATTCCGCTCGACGACACGAACCCCCCCCGAACAACTGACCGCCGTCAGAGGTTTTGGGCGGCCCGCCGCCAGGAACGCAAACACCGGGCATCAGATCGCCCAAATTGACTGGCGGTACTGTCGCCGACGCCAGGTCGCATGCGTTCCGCAGCGGGAAGAAGACCTCGGCTCCTTGAAACCCATTGTCCTCAATCCCGTGGTGGCTCACGGGCACTCCCGCCTCGACGCCAATATCCGTCCAACTCTGCCCTGACCTTCAACGACCGCCCTCGTGCCGTCCTTCTTCATGCCAGTATTGAAATTGAGACCTTCAACCTGGGGTCAAGAATTCCAAATATTTTATCCCATAGTGACTCGTCTGCGCCCCTCTACTCAGTAGAGGGCAGTAGAGTCTACTGCGCATTATGGCACTGGCAAAAATACGGCACCGCATGCGCCCAGTGGGGGGCCGGCACTCTGGCCGCCTTCGCCAGGAGCGTTCATGCTCCGTCCTGGACGATCCCGTTCGTCTTTTCCGCAACTGAGTTAACTTTCTTGTTCGGAGGCTGCGTGGAATCATGGGCGGTCGCGGACTCGCTCATCAGAGTGAAGGGGCTGAACCGAACGGTGATTCATTGTCCCTGGGTGCGTGGCTGAAGTGGAATTCCGCGATGCGGATTGTTGAACATTATTAATTCTAAAGAATAATTATTGTTGGGCCCCCTGGTGCACGCCCCCCCTGCGCCGCCTAGGCCGCAGCTACATTTTCATCATTTTCGTGAGGAAGCCTCAGGTAAAACGATGTGATCCAGATCCGGTTGTTTTGTTGTAATCCGTTTTCCCTTGCAAAAAACACTATAAAATGACATTTCTTGTTCTAATATAATCAAATTTCAAGAATCCCTTGCAAAAAATAAGGTAAAGTGGACATTCGCGCGCGCAAGACGAAATCCTTCCAAAAGCTTAGTGTTCGGAGCGATTTTAACATAAAAACATCAAAAAACCAATGGTTTTTCAACAAAAAAATGTCAAAATCTCATCCCGCGCGCTCTTGCGGATTCGTAGGAAACCCAACACTTTTTAAACATTTCTGTCAAACGGGCTTTTGCGAGCAACTTTTTCGAACTTCTGCGACAACGGTTGCGCACCTGCCAGGGCCATCATCCCTGTCAAATAATACCATGCGGGACACATTCGTTTTTTCTTCGCGCGCGCACGCCGTCGTCGTCGGCCGCGGGGCCCTGAATAGTAGCCACGGTCGTCCGCATGCCACGAAGTGAAGTGTCCGAACGTCATAGGGCGGGAAGCTGGGTGTGGGTGGTGGCGAAGAGTCGTTTGGAAATTTGGTAGAGCTTGAACCGGCCCCCCCACAAAGTGGGGGTATTGCCCGCCTCCTATGAAAACCCTGGCACTGGTGAGAACGGTGTGTCCCCACGTGCTAGTAATTGTTGTTGTTGTTGTTGTTGTTGTTGTTATTGTTGTTGTTGTTGTTGTTGTTGATGTTATTGTTTGTTGTCGTCGTCCCACCCGCGACCCGCCACGCGACCCACCTGCGACCCACCCCGCGACACACCCGCGACCCACCCGCGACCCACCCCGCGACCCACCCCGCGACCCACCCGCGACCCACCCCGCGACCCACGTGCGAACCACCCGCGACCCACCCGCGATCCACCCCGCGACCCGCCCGCGACCCACCCCGAGACCCCCCCGGCGACCCACCCGCGACCCACCGGCGACCCACCCGCGACCCACCAGCGACCCACCCCGCGACCCACCCGCGATCCACCCGCGATCCACCCGCGACCCACCGCGACCCACTGGCGACCCACTGGCGACCCACCCCGCGACCCACCAAAAATTTTCGGCGCCTGCGGCGGGTTTCTTTTGCACTCGCTCCAGGTGGAGAACCTGCGACCCACCCCACGCCCCAACCGCGCCCGCGACCCACCCGCGACCCACCGCGACGCGACCCACCGGCGACCCACCCGCGACCCACCCCGCGACCAAGCAAAAATTTTCGGCGCTTGCGGCGGGTTTCTTTTGCAGTCGCTCCAAGTGGAAAACCTGCGACTCACCCGCGATCCAAACCGCGCTCAGTGTACAAATCAAAATGTTCGGCGCCTGCGGCGGGCTGTTTTTGAATTCCTTTTCAAGTGGAAGTGGAGACCCCGCGACCCACCCGCGACCCAAACTACGTTCACTGAAAAAGTCCAAACTTCGGCGCCTGCGGCGGGTTTCTTTTGTATTCGTTCCAGGTGGAGAACCTGCGACCCAAATCGCGTTCAGTGTACAAATCAAATGTTCGGCGCTTGCGGCGGGCTGTTTTTGAATAGATTCCAGGTGGAGGTGGAGCCCGCGACCCACCCGCGACCCAAACTACGTGCACTGAACAAGCTGAAAATTCGGCGCCTGCGGTGGGCTCTTTTTGCATTCGTTCCGGGTGGCCCACCAGCGATCCCCCCCGCACTGAAATTGCCAGAGCACGGCGGCGACGATGAGGACGAGGACGCGGACGAGGAAGATGAGGAGGAGGAGCAGGAGGAGGAGAAGGAGGAGGAGGGCGCAATCGACAGGGAAGGTGAGGGCCACGAGGTCCGCCGGCTCGACGCCCGCGTCGCTCGCGCCCACCCCCCCCCCCACTCTTATCCGCAATTGCGGGGTACTACGTAGGGTGCACGTTCAACGACTTGCACGCTCGTTTGAGCTCCGGGACCGCATCTGCATAGTTGCGCGCAAGTTGCTCCTGGGTCCTTTGGCGCCCGGAGATTGACGAAGAAATCA